AAACCAGCGACTGAATAAATTTACCAGTCTTGCATACTATAGTTTTTTTACGACCATTAGTTTCTGGATACATTTTTGGGAAGTACTGTTACTGAGCGACGCCTGACGAGACTGTCAGAACTGACAAACGTCAAAATTATGTGTACCGAATACGCCCGAAGTGGCTCGCGACAATGTGTGGCATGTGCTTCGTTTCATTTCGTTTAAATTAATAATAAAAAGCTAAAAGCAACATATCGGATATAACGAATCAGTTTCAGAACATTTTTCTGGTTCGTTATATCCGGACGTTACTGTATTGTTGTTATTATTATTATTATTATTATTATTATTATTATTATTATTATTATTATTATTATTATTATTATTATTATTATTATTAATCATTTTAATGGTTTTTTTTAATAACTTTTAAACCATTAAAAATGCAAGGCGTATTTAATAGGATAACAATATATTTAAATGCATAATGCCCTGAAGCTAGCATAATTAAATTATCAGAGGTCGACTAACAAATATAAAATAAAACAAATTCTGTGATTCAATGTCTATGTGAATGATATTGCCTCATGTTTTCATCACGCATGTTTCCTTTTATTGGCTGACGACTTAAAATTTTATATGCTGGTGTGACTGTATAAAACTCCAGTCCGATTTAGATCACCTATCGCTATGGAGCGATTTGAATAGAATGGGACTAAATATTAATAAATACCAACAAATAAACTTCTAACGGAGCAGAAACCCCATACATTTTACGTATAACATAAAAGGGACACTGTTATTGCAGGGCTCGGTAATAAAGGATCTTACAGTGTTACTCGATATTAAGTTGACTTACACACACCATGTTTCATTGTGTTTAAATCACTTCAGATGTTGGGCTTTGTTAAGCGTTGTGCAGTTGACTTCCAGAGTGTTCCGTCTCTCAGATTACTGTTCTGCTCCGTCGTGCGTCCACACCCGGATTATTGTTCCAGTGTGTGGTCACCTTCGTATAACGTCCACATACAGGCCATAGAAAGAGTGCAGCATAGGTTCCTGCGGTATATAACATTTAAGGAGTAGCAAGGACTTGAGGACGTTGATTACTTTGAATTGGAAAACCCTCTCCAACTTACAACTCTTCAGATTCGTCGCATGCAGAGGAATCTCACCATTTTTATAATTTACTGCATTCAAATTCCCATGGAGCTGAGCTGTTATGTAAGGTTGCCCCTCCCTCCCCCCCAAATTAAACCGCTCCATCCAGGTGGAGTTCCATCGTATGCGCAGAGTTCTTTTCTTACAGGTCAGCTGCACTAGCGAATTACTTTTCTAACCAACTTGACTGCTTCCAGAGTGCAAGAATATTTAAGAAAGAACTTAAAGACTGTCGGTAAAACTATTCCGCTTTTCCTCTCAATAGTGTTGTATACCATTGTGTTGGTGCCGCGCTACTCTTGTAAGTGTCCTTACGGTCGTGTCGACTAACTATACCAATATTATATTTCCGAAAACCAATTTTTGGCATATTAGGGTGGGGGTCTTCATTTATCTATTTATTTCATTCTGTTTTAATTTTGTTTTATTTTATTTTGTTGTTTACTATTTTGTTTATGTGAATCCTATTTTATATTGGGTGGTTGGCCCGTTGATAAATAAATAATAATAATATTAGTATTGCTTTTGTTACTCGTTTTTGACAAAAAAGTGCGAATGTGCTGGGAAGGAAATACTAAAATCAAAGAATTTGGTTTTCTTAAAATATTATATATATATATATATATATATATATATATATATATATATATATATATATATATATATATATATATATATATATATATATATAATATATATATATATATATATATATATATAAATATACAACTTTTATCCCACATAACCGCGTATTTTTAATAGTTTAAAAGTTGCCCATTGAAAAAGTAGTAACTATGCGAGAAAGTAGACACTTTTAGTACCTACACGATGCATTTTTTTGCGCTCACCAAACACAAAAAAAGAACTATTGCTCACCAAGCAGGTAACTTCTAAATGAACTATAAAAAATCTCTTAAACGTCTTCGTTGAATGGATAGGATACACGGACATCCCATATATAGTTTATTACATGCTTTTTTGCGATAGTTTTCAAGGCGTGGATAATTTTCCATTAATACGGCAGCACTTCTTTATGCGCACGAGTTGATTACTCTTTTAAGAAGATCCTGGAAAACTCGACTGTTGGAACAAAACGGGTGTAAATTTAAAACGTCGAAAAAATCGTTTTCGTAAGAATAGTGAGAAATTTAATGGCAGGCGTATAGAATGCGAGTCGTACGTACCCGACTCGAAGGACAGCGGCGGCAGCAGCAAGAAGCCTTTGTAATTTTGCACGGGGCGGAATGATCAGAACGCGAAACGCTAATCACGGGGCAACGGCCGACCTTGGGGTTGCTCACGATTGATGTGGACATTAACAGAGATGTTAGGTGGCCATTTGTTTTCGAAAATATGCAAAGATTGTCGCGCAATTATTATGCATGCAAGAAGACTCCTTTCGGGTCGCCGCCTTTTATTACGTTGTGCACCATTGAAAATAAGTAGGAGAAAAGTTTCGAATTTTAGCTTAACAAAATGCCATGTATAAACCTTTAAATTCCGAGTCGTTGAGGTAATTACATTCGGAACTGTGGCTAGAACATTCTTCATTAGCAAATACATTTTTATTATGGTTTAGCCAGTTTATTTAAGCATTCCGACTGTTGACAAACATTTGTCCATCTGAAATTTCAAAAGGATTGACATCGGCGAAGACTCTTTCTATATTCTAGGTTTCTACGAATTTGGTTGCAAAATTTCGGACTCCTAGAATCTTATTGCTGTCTAGAATAGGCCCGATTATACCCAGCAATCTAACCAAAGTTTTGATGAGATGAGAGTAAATTTAAAATATTATATTTTTACGATTTTAAATCGACCAAGATCGTTTGGGTTCGTCAAATGCGACGGTGAAATAAAATAAATTACTCCGCGTAAAACTAAAACTAAACTAAACACCTACTAATAATGTACACCGTGTGCCAAATAAAACGATCCATTATACTATTTGGAAACCCATTGGAAATACGGAAAAAGTTAATAAGTTTATAATATTATAATTTTGTTGATACAGAGTGTCCAAAAAGTGTCCTCCCCCCCACCCCGACATCAACGTTGTTATTTTAAATGGAACACCCTATATATTTCATCCTTTTTTGAATCCTTGATTAAAACAAAGGTCACTTTCTTAGGAAATTCCTATTGGTTACACTTGTTGGCAGTATTAGGTATTTTTTAAATAGTAAAGACATGATACTACTTCTTTTAAAGATATAATGCTCTAGATATATGAATAAAACCTATTGCTAACAATACAGATTTACTAAATCATATTTAAAGAAACATTTAATATTTAATTATTATTATTTATAGTTATTTAATAGTTAAATATCAGAAATAAATAATTAAAGTTTATAGACTAACTAACCAAGGTAACAAAATTGAATAAATAAATCTATAAAAAAAATTAACTAAAAGAGGTTCGCTAATTCGGTCTCAAAAAGTTTAGTTAAAAATGTCAAAACAACAAAGAAATATCAAAATATTTAAAAATGTAGTTGGCTATGACATCACAATCTTTTTTTTTGTTTTTTGACGCATTAAGATATAAACAAACTTTGTCATTTCTGTTTGTTTTTGTTGTTTTTCATATTTCTATTCGAAAAGTTCATAATTGTCAAGTTTTTTGTTAGTATATATTTTATTTGTATTTTAAATAAGTTATATTTTTTTGGTTAACCTATAAACTTTAACTATTTATTTTTGTTATTAGGTATTTTCAATCAAGCTGGATAATTAACTAATAAATGTTTCTTTAAATATGACTTCTGAAGTTTTATTAAATCTATTATAGTGTGTAGTATAGAGTCGATTTTTTATAAAGTTTCCTCGTATTATAGGTAATAGGTATATCATATCTCGAGTATTGTATCTTTACAGGAAGTTGTGTCATGTCTTTGCTATTTAAAAAATAAATAAATTTATGAGAGTGTTATTTTGATCCTCAAATATCTCAAAAAATAAGTAAAATTTTAATATAAAATTAAAAATTTAATATAAGACAAATTACAATCAAGTTTTTGTCCTGGAAATTGATATCTGAATTAAAATATAGGGTGTTTGATTTGAAAATCTTGAGATTTTGTTAATTGAGTTCGCCAAAACGGCACACTGATTGAGTAGTGCATCATCATAGTTAAATTTTTGTTGCGGATCAGTAGCGTCACAACACAATTTTATATGGGGCAATCCAAATATGAAAAAAAAAACAACCTCAATTTCGGCCTAAACTATGCAAAATTCGAATAGAAACTTCTTAAGAAAGTGACCTTTATATTAACCAAGGATTCAAAAAATGTCAAAATATACAGGATGTTCCATTTAAAATAACAAAGTTGATGCCGGGTTGGGGGGTGGGGGGGGACTTTTGGGATACCCTGTATCAACAAAATTATAATATTTTAAATCTTTAGGAGAGTCCAAGGAACTTTTGTACGAAACTTTTTTTCGTATCTCCTATGAGTTTCCAATCGTATAGTGGATCGTTTTGCTTGGCACACGGTGTACCTATATGTCTATTATTTATATTTCCGCACTGTACGGTTTCACTTTTCGACTGACTCCCACTAGGAGCGGCGCTCGCTTTTATAGACCTCAAAATCTATAAGCGATGAGGATCGAATTTTCTAACGGTCTTCGCGAGTATGCGTTCCGATTCCCGCGTACTTGAGTACTCAGTCGGTTCGGCTCCCTCATCAGAGTATTATTAATATGTTATGACAATTTTTATTTCTTCAAATTATATTAGATATGGAAAGCATACCCATGAAAGAAGTAATTTTTACTTCGCAAGTTTTTCTATTAAATAACTTTGTCGCTGGGCAACATTTAGGTATTTTCCTTAATTGGAGATTTAGATATGTAATCACAGAATTACTTCAGAGCGATCTACATAAAATTATAGTTTCTCATCAGCCACTTTCGTCGGATCACATAAAAGTTTTCATGTACCAAATACTTAGAGGTGAGTATTTTTTTTATTACAAAAAGAAATAGGAATGTAATTATCAAAGTTTTTTACCAAAAAGATTTTTTTAAACAGGAAACAAGGATAAACTGTAATACACAATTAAAAATTTTCTAAAATATAAAATGCAAAAATCAAATATGGCGCTCATAAGAAAAGAATTAAGTTTGTAAATAAAACGAGAAGCGGAAATTTTAGTTTTTTCGCCATTTTTCTGGAAATACCTAAATAACTGAAAGTTATTTGAGCTACTCTCCATCTCTTCTCTTTCCGAGATGGTAACGTTGACAGTCTAATTTGAAACTAACCAAACTGATTAAAAATAATATTCTGGTAACACATTAATTTCTAAAAACCGACATTTATTCCTGTAATTAACGTATTTATTATTTTCACGCAGGTTTGAAATATTTACATTCAGCTAGGATATTACATCGGGACATTAAACCTGGAAATCTATTAGTAAACAGCAACTGCGTATTAAAGGTAAGAGAACTTTACGTTCAAAGTAAGCGTTTTGTGGATTTTATCTCGTGTTCGGCAAAAAGATTGGCAATCCTCGAATTTCGCAATGCGAACAGTTTTTCCAGCAGATGTCGAGATTTTATCGTTTTGAGGCGGAACGTTCATTAACCCATTTAACCAGTTCCAGCAAGCACTGACACACACAAGCAGATCGATTAACGTAAATATTTTGAACCGTTTTGACTTTTTGTATAGCCAAATGGATTTCGTTATCATTTTCAGTTTCTAATCCCACGACAAATAAGGGGCACCGACAAAATTACGTTTATTAGTAAGCACCGGTAATTACAAAGCAGATAAGCACGCCTTAGCAATTTTAATTCCTATATAGCAACCGACGAATTACTCAAAATAAATACACTGCTCCGAAAAGTGAACCAAATTTCACAATAGGGAAAGACGGCTGGGTTGTCCTTGTCTTTCCTTGCTCATTTAAATAAATGAGGCTATGGAATTATTATTTGATAATCAAACAATATTTTCTTTAAATATTTGTAAAAAATAAAATTTATAATAATCTTAACTTCGTGAAAAACATCGGAACAAACAAATCGACATACTTCAAAAAATATTGCCACAAAAGTGCAGCATTAATTTTTTCAGGAGTTTTATTTTAGACAAAACTTAAAATACACATAAATATATACATTTAACCATTCTTTTCTATTTTGTGACAACTATATTAATAGGTAAAGGTTTCCAAAACACACGAAATATACATTATAATATCCATTCCAACTTACAATTTAGCAGTTAACAAATTATGTGCAAATACTCTAAATATTCTATTTAATTATAATTTTTATTTCATTATATAATAACTTGATTTATTTATAAAACAAAACCAGATCATATAATATGCAACATGTGTAAATGATTTACTTACCCAAATATATATTTTCTTTTTTTGGATATATATACGTACATTACATACATATGTAATACAAGAACTATAATAAAAACAAAAGCAATCACAATATATGACACTTAGTTCAAAGAACGACAAACAATTAAAACGTTTTAATAGAGTCCCCTATACCACGATTTACTCTCATGAAACCAAAACAGGTAGAAAAATGGTGAAATTTAAAACAATTTCTCATTACTCTTATCTGCCATTAGTATTACCGTTTATAACAAAGAAAAAGATCCTCTACCCATTTCCCTCTAAATAAAATTTGCCTCAAAGTCATTTGATCGATTTGACTATGCTTTGTCTGTTTTTCATTGCGATTGTACAAGAGATAACCGAAACACAAAAGTAAAATACATTAAGTTTAATGAAATTTATGAATGATTTTATGTTTTAATAATTGAACCATAACCCAAAACAAAGCAATAAATCAAATAAAATGCTTTACAATCCTTTATGCGAAACCAAACTGCTGGAAAACGGATGAGTATAATTCAAATTTGTAAAATAAATATGGAAACAAACATCTTCTGAAAGAGTTCAAATAACTTCCTGGGGAGTATTTGGTTTCATTGTGCGAACATTTTACAAAAATTTGAAGTTTCAATGAGGGTAATTTAGCAAGACTAAGATCGATCGAATTTTTTGAGAGTAATTGGAATCATTGGAAAGTCTTATTTTCCAGAATCAGGCAAGTATTTTTAATATCATGGAAACTGCAAACTATTTTCCTAAGTGGCTGGCCGATCAAAAGTGAATTTGCGATTGCTTTGCAGATATGTGATTTCGGCTTAGCACGAGTTGAAGAACCTGACTCGTCCAAGCTGATGACCCAGGAAGTGGTCACTCAGTATTATCGGGCACCAGAAATCCTCATGGGTGCGAAACACTACACCGCTGCGGTCGACGTATGGGCAGTGGGTTGTATATTTGGAGAACTGCTCGCGCGGCGGATACTCTTCCAAGCTCAGAATCCTGTTCAGCAACTAGAATTGATCATCGAACTGCTGGGTACCCCCTCTTTAGAAGATATGAAATACGCGTGCGAAGGTGCCAAAACGCATATGCTTTCGAGAGCTCCAAAACCTCCCAGTTTGTCGGCGTTGTACACCTTATCGTCTCAAGCCACGCATGAAGTGGTACATTTGTTGTGCCAGATGTTGGTCTTCGATCCGGTAAGTCGAACCAACTTTTGGGGTTGTCTACATATCTTGTGTCTAAGTTGGACCCACTGCACAAGCATGGAATGTGAGTGTATGATCTTTCTAACATCGAAGAGATACGTAAAGCTTTCGATCCTACCTGTCCAATGGGGGTGTGCGGCAAACAATAACTTTATTTAAAAAATTTGAGGTAACATTGAAAACCATACTTTTCTATGGCGGCAATTAATAAACGTCAAGTTTGTTTGCTTGGAAAAATCAAGTCCAATCAAATTGTTTCCCTAACGCATATCCAGAAAAGCAAAGTGGCTTAAGAAGTCCAGTAGGTATAGTCTGTTCATAGATATAAGAAAGTGACCAATTGATTTTGAATGGGTGAAGATTATTACCTAAAGTTTCGGAATTTAAATTCAGGTAAAATTGTGGTCCGTAATAGAAAATAATTTTATACCTACCTGTGTTTAATATTCTTTGGTTTGGTATACTACTTAGTTTAAGTTTATTAGTCATCATTCTTATTTCGTGTGTAATACAGCCTGTGTTGAATTATGCAAAATATGTGCGAGTCTAGTGTATCTCAGGAGATGCTCTCGCCCAAATGTAGAAAACACTATTCTATTGAGACTAAGAAAGTTATAAACAATGTTTATTTGACTCTAATTGAACTAGAAGAAACGGCCACATTGACGAAAGTTCCAACATCAACCGTATGAAAAATTGTGAATCCCATTTCAGCGAGGAAAAAAAGAAGCGATGCTGACATTTTCTCGAGTGTAGATAAAAGTACCAGCTATACGAGGAACAAAGCGTGCCTACGTTAGATATCTTAATTAGGACGCTTGAAAAAGATGAAACCGGTGTTAAATGTGGCAGAACTACCTTATGGAAGTGTATTCATCAACACATGGGTTTTAGATTTAAAAAAATTGACAAAAGGCAAGTTTTAGTGGACAATGCAAGTTATCACAGTAGACGGTTGACTAAAACACCTTCCTCATGTGACACAAAAGCAATCATCTAACCAAAACTACATGTATAATAACGACATTCGTTTTCACGAAAATTATACCAAAAAGCAATTAATTTTGAAGTTCTACAAAGCTTGAACCTACAAAAGGAATACGTCTGTGATAATAAAATAATAAATAAAAATCTAGGGCA